CAGTCTTTTATGTCAGATTCTCCATCTCCCACGTACTCTGCAATTCAATGACACTGGCTTTTTTTCTGTTCCTTGAACAAGACACTTCCATCTTCCAACTCTGTACATTTTCACTGGCTTTCTCCTATGCTTATAGAATTCTCTCTGTCTTCATCTTGACCTCCTGGCTTCCCTGGCTTGTTTAAGGTACCAGCTAAAGCCCCAGTTGCTCAGGAAGCTTTTCCTTATTTTTTTTTTAATTCTAGTGCCTTCCCTGTCTGTTCTTATTTCTAATTAATCCTGCATTTAGATTCTTTGTACGTAGTTGTTTTAAGTGTTTTATCTCCTTTTAAACTGTGAGCTTCTTGAGAGCAGGAACTATTTTGCTTTTCTTTGTATTCTCAGTAGTTAGGTAGTACTTGGCACACTGTAAGTACTTGCTGACCTAACTATTTTGTAGGGAGATTTAGGGGAGTCATCTTCATAGAGATGATAATTGAAGCCATGGCAATTGATGAGAAAAGAAAAGTGAACTGAATGGAGAAGCTTAAAGGACATGTAGCTTCAGGCCAACATGAGGATAACTGGGAAGGAGTGGTGAGACAGATAGGAGAACTAAGAGACAAAAAAAAAATGTCACAGAAGCCAGAGGGTAGAGAATATTAAGAAAGAGGTGATATCAAATATGTCAAACTGCAGAAAGGGAAAAATAAAGAATTGAGACCAAGAGCAATTTATTAGATTTGGTCTTTAAGAGAACAATTTAAGTTAACTGTTAGGCATAGAAGTCAAGTTCCTAGGGATTGAGGATTGAGTTGGTGGGAAAATAGTAGAAACAATAAATATAAACTATTCTTTCTGGAAATTTAGCAATGAATAGTTAAGAGACTTAAGGTAACAGCTTAAGCAGGGTGGCATGTTCAAGAAAAAAAAATTTGTAAAGGTTAGAGGAAACCTTAGCATGTTAAGTAGGCAGTAAGGAAGAACCAGTAATGCAAGAGAATGATGAGAGAAGGGTAGTAGTCCATGGAGGTATATGAGATCAGATGCACAAGTGGAAGGTTTAGCTTTGGCTAGGAGGACAGCCATTTTATCTTCTAAGTAAGGGAGAGGACAAGTGAGAATATAGGGTGGTTGTTGTTGTTTTTTCCGGTAAAGAAGATATTACCTCCAGAAAGATGGCATCAGTCTTTTTGTAAAGGAGGAGGTTTTGCCAGTGAGATTCTCTCCTTAAGGGGAGTATTTAATTTTTCTTTTTGTGTCCCCATCACCTAGCATAGTGCTTGAAACATACTAAGTGCTTAAGTGATGTTTGTTGAGGTGTGTGGGTGGTACAGAGGATCTGGTGCAGTGGATCTAGAACACAGGATCTGGAACTGAGAAAACCTGAGTTAAAATCTAGTGTCAGACATTAGCTGTGTGACCCTGGACAAGTCACTTAACCACTGCCTCAATTTCCTCTTCTATAAAATGAAACTATTTGTAAACCTTAAAGCGCTATGTATGCTATGATTAATTCTAGTAGTATAAGTATTAGTTGATTTATAGAGGTGAGGTCATTTACTGAGAGAGGAGAAATGTGAGCTGTTATTGCCATTTGTGGGAAAGAGAATGCTAGGAATAACTGATATGAGAATGTGATGGATTTGGCTGGGTACAAATCAAAGTATTGCCTTGAGGCAATGAGGACCTCAATTAGATAGCATGAATTTGTAGTGGACCCAGTCAGCATTGTTTTGAAATTACCTCTAGCATCACTTGGCAATAGAAGCAGAAAAGGCAAATTATGGGGCTAAATGAAGGTTGGAGGTTTGTAGGGGCAAGAACAAGGGATTCACGGATGGATAAAATTACGAGAGAGAGAGAGAGAGAGAGAGAGAGAGAGAGAGAGAGAGAGAGAGAGAGAGAAAGAGAGAGAGAGAGAGAGAGAGAGAGAGAGAGAGAGAATAAGGACTGTAAATTGAGGAAATGGAAACCAAGAGAAGGGTAATTGAATAGGCAGATAAAATGGAATTGGGAGCCTGGAGGCTTTCACAAGTTTAAATAGCAATTTTAAAAATCAGAATTTTAGACTTCACAAATCATGGAAGTGGAATAATTTTGGGTAGTTGTAAATTACGTGATTTTATTCCTCCTAGGAGTACGTAAGGTAGAGTTGATGAACTTGGGGACCAGGATGTTAGAAAGGTAGGTTATCATAAATATTGAAGTCATTAAGTATAACAATAAATAATTTCAAAATTAGCATGTGTTTATATGTATGTGTGTATATATACTTGTGTGGGGCAGCTAAGTGGCACAGTGGATAGGGCATTGGGGTCAGGAAGACCTGAGTTCAAATTTGACCTCAGATACTTACTAGCTATGTGACCTAAGTCACTTAACCCTGTTTGCCACAGTTTCCTCATCTGTTAAATGAGCTGGAGAAGGAAATGACAAACCATTCCATTATCTTTGCCAAGAAAACCCCAAAAGTGGTCACAGTGTCAGACCATAACTGAAAATAATTAAACAACATACACATGTGTGTCTATAAAAATTTCAATTCTTTCTGCTTAAATGATGAAAAGGAAGCTTTTAAGCCAGATGCTGAAGTAGTTGAGGAAGCTGGAAGGTGTTTTTAACGTCAGCAGATGATAGGAACTTGACCAAGTGATATAATTGCACAGTGTGAAGTTCAGAGGAAGACAGGTTGTTGAATGAAAGAGGATCTAGTGAAAGAGTCAGAAAGAGGATTTAGACCTGGCTGTGTGAACTAAAGGACATGAGAGGACTCGTCAATAAGGCTGTCACAGAATGTGCTTTTTTACAGGAAAAACCAGATTTCAATTAGTATTTACTTGTACCTTTATTGAATTGTAGTTTATAGGTGTTGTATATAAATTTTTTGCCCTTTGAAGTCTTTTAAAATGAGCTATGATGGATTTTATGAACCTTTGTGTATACTTGAGGGGGGAATTGTATATTTCTTTCTTTTTCATTAAGTTCTAGTCATCCTGTTTATGTTCATGTTCTTATTTATATTTCTCTCTTTGATTTATCTTTATGATAGGAGGCTGTTAAATCTACTATTATTAATTTTCTATTTCTTCTGAAAGATCTTTCCTGATATATGATTTGCTGTATTATTTGGTATACACATATTCAAAATTGGTATTCCTTTATTATGGTATCTCTTAGTATGATATTATATCCTTGTTTATCTTTCAGTGATGTATTATTAGAATTTAATTTTGTCAAGTATCATCTTTGCAACTCCAGGTTTTCTTGAGTCATCATGAGCTGATCTTCATTTTATATTTTTGTATTTTTTTTAAATGAAATATCAGAGATGATGTTTTGAGATTCCATTAATCCTTTCCATTTTTTCCCCAATTTTTTTCTTTTTATGAGGGAATTCAAATCTCCTTTGGTGGAGTCTCCATGGATTTAAACCATCTCCAAAAATTGGATCAGAACACAGTGGACATTGTTGGTACCATACTGTCATAGTTAAGGCACATATCCTCCATCCTTTTAAGAATTAGTAAATTTCAAAAGTGTACATTGACATTTATTGTCCATCAAAATTACACTATAAGGTAGTTTTGCTGTTTTCAGAGATTGAACTTTGTTGAGGTGCTTGGGGAGGTATCTTAGGGAGGTATTTGTCAAAACAAAAATTTTTTTAAATGCGTACAGTGGCTACTACACTTTTTGAGAGATGATGACAAGCTGCAACCCAGTGATGGTATAATTTTATAGCCAGGCCTCATGAGGATCAGTTGAAAATACTGGGAATTTTTTACTAAAAGAAGAAAAAATCTAGGGGAACTTAAATGCAATCTTCAAATATTTTAAAGGCTCTGTGAAAGGGGAGAATTAAATTTATTCTCTGTGGATCCACAAGTTAGAACTAGGTATAATGAGTGGGAGAAAAATTTCAGCTTATGAGTAAGGAAAAGTTTACTGATAATTAAAACTGTGTGGGGTCCAAAATTATCCAATCTGCAAGAAAAAATCATTGAGGCAGAGCTCTAAGCCATTAACTATTAAAGAGTCCAGACCCTTTCAATAAATGAGACCTCAGATCTTTCTCATGATCTGAGCCTTAATTTTGTAGGACTTGGTATCCAGACACAAAAGAAACAAAGTAAAATACAGAGTTTCATTGGATGATAGATCTTCCTTTTGATCCTCCAGGAGGGCCAGAAATGATAAATCAGCATAGGTGGTCACAGGATGGGCAAGGAAAGGGTCATCTCCTCTAAGTAGTCATAAGATGAGTCCCTGCTAATGTTAGACAAGAGAGAGTGGTCCAAAGATATAAAAATAAACTGAGGGACCTTCCATATCATGTCAAGACATCCCACACAAGCTGGGTTTGGTCATGTACTCATCACCCAAAAGGGTGGAGGTCCTCTAGTCAGCATTCTTGTGGTTAGAAAAGTGAATTTCATAACAGGTTATTGAACCACTAGTGAACTCACAGCTTGTAGTTTGAAGTTTGGGGTTAGAATCTATCTAACCTTATCTAATTATTCCTATATCTAAGATATGTAAAATATGTACTAATATATGTAATTCCTATATTCATGTTAATTGAATAAACTAAATGTATATTACTAGATGAGTATATCACTAATCATTGCTAACAGTCACTACCCCATGGAATCACACTAAGCTGATTAATACTGATTAGAGCAAAATAGGGGTCTAATTAAAATCATCTTTTGTCATCTGTCTTTGGAATGGGCTCCCACATGAGGTAGTGAATTTCCCATCACTTAAGATATTCAGGCAGAGACTGGATGACAAGTTGTTGGAAATATTGTAGATGGGGTTCATATTTAGCTAGGATTGAAATAACTAACTTCCATGGTTCCTTCTAACTCTTAAAATTCTATGATTCTGTAAGAATTCTTTCTCTTAGAGAAAACCATATGTTAGAATTTAACTGTGTCAAGACTAGAAGCATTACTTAGTTTGGTATTCTTCGTTCTGTTCTCAGAATTTGTCCGCATTTCCAATTTCTTTCACAGTACCTGGGGGCTACCTACAAAGAGAAATTAATTTCTGTGAAGATTAAATCCCAGCAGATTTTGGCATCAGCTCTTCTAAATCAGAATGTCTACAGAAGTAAGGGAGGCTTCGATGCTGGTTTCACAAATGCCAGATGAACAAGATAGGATTCTAATAGTGAAGATGGAAGAGGAGGAAATCCACACCTGTGAGCAGGAACCCAGTCTCCACTGGAACAGCTGCTATAGCCCGGAAACATTTCGACAGCGTTTCAGGCAGTTTGGCTACCAGGACTCACCTGGCCCCCGTGAAGCCTTGAGTCAACTTAGGGAATTTTGCCATCTATGGCTGAGGCCTGAAATGCACACAAAGGAGCAGATCTTGGAGCTGCTGGTGCTAGAGCAGTTCCTGGCAATTCTGCCCAAAGAGCTTCAGACTTTAGTACAAAAGCATCACCCAGAGAATGGAGAGGAGGCAGTAACTGTGCTGGAAGATTTGGAAAGGGAGATTGATGGACCAGGAGAGCAGGTTCATATGACAAGGGGTCATCTAGTAATGGGGGGAAATTTCCTGAATTTCTATCTCCCCTTCACCTAGTTAGTAACATAGTTGTTTCTGTCTTGTCTGTTTTCTCTTCTTGTCTTCCATATTTGCTTATTGTTCTAGGAAAAGGAATGAAATTCTCATTCTTCCATCCTTTATCCCTGAGATAGTTTTCCATATAGTCTCTTCTTTCTGTGATTTGTGTTCTTATTATTACTATAATTGGCTCACAACCCAAACCAAATCTAAATGTTTCCAGGTCTCATTCCGTCAACAAAATCAGGAAGAGATGGTACTTCAAGGAGCAGATCAGGAGTCACTAAGCCTTCAAGTCCAGCCCATGGTTAACCAGCTCAAGTGGGCATCTTGGGAACTCCACACCCTAAGACAAAGTGGTAAGGAGTTAAACTCTATGTGGGGTGGAGGGTGAAAGTGGGTGTCTCTTCCACCTCAGGTATGTAAATTGGTGCCTTTTCCTTACCCATTCGCCTCTTAACGTTGGAAGTGTTATCATTATTTGTTTCCCCAGGCATATGCTCTTAATATAGTAGAGCTCCTTTTACCCTTTTCATATCCTAAATGAAATTAGCCTTTATTTATAGATATCAACCATACCAGTCATTTCTTCTATTATAACTTCTTCATTGGCCATTCTCATATTGCTATTAAAGTCATTTTCCTCACTCATCTTCTTGGCTTCTTTTCTAGCCTTCTTTTCCTACTTTGACTTCCATTAACTTTTACATCAAATTTTATATCTTTCTGATTTCTTTCCTCATTGCTAGACTTGTTGCTTCAGACCACCTTGCCTCCTTTTGTAAATCAGTTCTCCTTCTACCCACTGTAGACTGTATGCCTACCTTTTACATGAGAGAGATGTCATTCGATTTTCCAGCAACTTCTCTCTACTTTAAAAAAAAAAAACTATCCCAAAAGGTATCCATAGCTATTTCTAACTTTACCCCCTCCTGTGTTTTTTTCCGTTTTCAGGAAATTCCTGTTTTCATGGCTTTTTCCAGGGCCCTAATTAAGATCACCACTGCACCTCTTCTCCACAGGTTATACTGGTCATCCTGTTTACTCTGAATGAACTATGGAAAAAACCCTTTTTCTCTTACTTCAAAAAGCCACTAGAGCTTCTTAAACAGGAAAGAGACATAAGAACTATGCATTAGAAGTATTAATTTAACATCTGTGTGTAAGATGGATTGGAGGAGGGAGAGACAGTGATAGTCCAGGCAAGAAGTGGTGAAAGCCAGATGAAAGTGACTTTATGAGTGGGGAGAATGGGATGGTTGCAAGAGATATCGTGGAAATAAAATTGATAAGACTTGGCAACTAATTGACTATGGCTTTAGAGAGAAGATTCAGGGGTACACTTTGTGGGGTTTTTTTGTTTGTTTTTTGGGGGTTTTTTTGGCCAGGCAGTGGGGTTAAGTGACTTGCACAGGGTCACACAGCTAGTAAGTGGTATGTGTCTGAGGCAGGATTTGAACTCAGGTCCTCCTAAATCCAGGGCCGGTGCTGTATCCACTGAACCACCTAGCTGCCTCAAAAGATATTGTTTTTTTTCTTGTTTGTTTTTGGGGTTTTTTTGGCTAGGCAATGGAGTTAAGTGACTTGCCCAAGGTCACACAGCTAGTAAGTGTCAAGTGTATGAGGCCAGATTTGAACTCAGATCCTCCTGACTGCAAGGCTGGTGCTCTATCCACTGTGCCACCTAGCTTGCCCGACTTTGTAGTTTTAAACCTGGGAAACTAGGAGGAGTGAAGGACAGAAATAAGGAAATTTGAACGTGGGTAAGCTTAGAGGAAAGTTCTTTTTTGGACATAAGCATGCTGAATTTGAGAGGGAGAATTCAGTAGAATGTAAGCTTCTTGAGGGCAGGGACTATTTTTCTGTTTTGCTTTGTATATCTCTATCCCCTAGCACAGTTTTTTGCACTTAGTAGGATCTTCATAAATTCTTGTTCATTGAATTAGACTGGATTGGACAGTACATCCCCAGTGGAAATGTCCAGCAGGCAGTTGGTGATGGAGCGCTGAAGTAAAGAAAGGTTAATTTGGAGTTTAAAAAACAAAACAAAACTATAAGTGACTAAGAGAGACCAAGAAATGTAGAAACAAATTTACAGAATACAAATTTCTTATCCTAATTTAACTAATGACTAGACTCAGATTTGTTTGGTGTACACAACTCCAGTTCTTTCCTTTCTTCCACCCTATTTCATGTGAACTAAAGAAAAGAGTTTTGCTTCTGTATTTCTGTCAGGCTTCAATAAGGGGGCTGAGCCACTAGTGAGAGTTGTTTGTTTCTCAGGGCGTGCGAAAGACCCAGAGAAGCTAGGGCTTATAATAACTGTGGATATTGATCCCTTTCATCCTGCAGTTTTCCCTTACAAGGGGCTTCTTTCATTTTTATAGAAATGGGACTTTCTTGCTGTAATCCATAAATAGATGTGGTTTTAATGCAGAAAATTTGAATGGAATATTCATGACTGTTGTTACAATAAATTAGTTATTTGTCATAGTTGCTTAAAATTGAGATTCTCAACATTTGGAGAGTTGTGAGCCATAAATGTTGGCTTTAATACCAGCATTCTGTGACTTCATGATTTCGTTTGGAGAGTCATTTAGTCTAATCCCTGCCCAAAACATGAATCTTCTCTAGAACATCCCCCATAAGTGAGGATTTGATAATCTGCTTGAAGATCCCTAGTGACGGATTATTTAATAACCTCTGAAGTAACTGATTGAATTTTGGTACATCTCTACTTGACAGGAAATTTTTCCTTACGTTGGACCAAAAATTTACCTTCCTACCTTCCTACCTTCCTGTGGTTCCCATTCTGACCTCTGGGAGCCAAGCAGAACAAGTATAGCATCTTATCTACATGGTCACACTTCACATATTTGAAAATAGCTATCGTCTATTCTCTGTCGTCACTTCACCAGTTTGTCTTTTTCAGTCATATCACCATCTTGATCACTCTCCTTAGGATAAGCCCCATCCCTTCTAAAAGATGAGTTTAAGAACATTATTTCAAAGGGCAGCTAGGTGGCGCGGTGGATAGAGCACAAGCTCTAAAGTCAGGAGGACCTGAGTTCAAATGTGGCCTCAGACCAAGCACTTGACACTAGCTGTGTGACCCTGGGCAAGTCACTTAACCCCAATTGCCTAACCCCTTCCCCCCCAAAAAAAGAACATTATTTCAGATTGTGTATGACAAAGGGAGAGTACAGCTGCATGACTACTTCTCTGACCCTGACATTTGTCCTTCTCTGGTTCTATAGCACCTCATATTTTGTTCCTTAGAAAGCATATATAGTACCTTAGCAATAATAAAGGAAAAACTCATTTTTCATAGTGCTTTACTCGATAACTTTTTAGGGAAAGTAATATGTATTTTAAAGATGGGGAAAGAGGACTCAGAGGTTACATGATTTTTTTTCCAGAATCACATGACTAATAATTGACAGAGCCAGCACTTGAACCCATCTGATGATTCTAAGTGTAGTGCTAGTTCCACTATACCTTACTGCCTCTTTAGTTTTTTTATATGTGTGTGTGTGTGTGTGTGTGTACACACACACACACACACACACACACACACACACACATACACATATTCACTACCCTGGGTTGTCATTCATGTGGACCTTTTGACTTGAAGTCATTGAGTGAAGATAGGTGCTTTTTTTTTAAACCTTGTTTTTTATATTGAGTTTCAATTCTCTGTTAACCATTTTTGTTCTATCCTTCTAAGCTGAAAAATTTTGTTCTTCTTGGTAGACAGAACATGAGCAAAACATATCATAATAAATTTAGAGCTAGAAGGAAATTAGCTGGAGCTGTGCTCGTCCAACCCCCTTATTTTACACTTATCCAAGTGGTAATGATGTACTGCAGATTCGACATCAGATACTTCATCACTGAGCTTAATCTGTTACTAGACTGCAGAAATTTTTAAAATAAATCATAACAAATCAAGTTAACAAGTATTTTTTAAGTGTGTACTATGTGTCAGGCATTCTGCTCAATGCAGGGAATACAAATAAAAGCAAAAACAGTCCCTGCTTTCAAGGAGCTCATATTCTAATCAGGGAGACAACATGCAAAAACTATGTATAAAGAAGATATATACAGAGTAAATTGGAGATAATCTCAGTGGGAAGGCACTAACATTTGAGGGAAATGGGGAAAGACTTCTTTCAGAATGTGGGATTTTTAGCTGAGACTTGAAGGAAGCCAGGAGGTCAAAATGAAGAGACAGAAGATGTAGTGTGTCATGTGCAAGAAAAGAAAAGGAGGCCAGTATCACTGGATTATAGAGTTCCTGGAAGGGAGTAAGATATAAGAAGGAAAGGAAGGGAAAAGAAGGGAACCTGTTATGAAGGGCTTATGATAATAAGAAACCACTAGAGTTCATGAGTAAGGGAGGACACAATCAGATCTGTGCTTTAGGAAAATCAGTTTGATAGCTGAGTGGAAAATGAACGAGAGGGGAAAAAGCCTTGAGGCAAGTAGACCAACTAGAAGGTTATTGTAGTAGTCTAGGCATGGGGCGATAAGTGCCTGTGACAAGATAGTGCCAGTGTCAGAGGAGAGAAGGGGGTATGTGCAAAAGATGTTATAAAGGTGAAATTGACAGGACTTGTCAATCAAACAGATTTGATGGGTGATGGGGGGAGTGAGAGAGAGGGTGAAGAATTAAGGCTGACACGGAGATTGTGAGTTTAGGTGACTGGATTATGATGATGGCACCCTCAACAGTAATAGGGAAGATAAGAAAGAGGGGGATGCTTGGAGGAAAAATAAATGAGTTCAGTTTTAGATATGTTGATTTTAGTTGTCCACAGGACGTCCAGTTTAAGATGTCTAATAGGCAGCTAGAGATGTGAGTCTAGAGGTCAGGAGAGAGCTTAGGGCAAGATAGATTTGAGAATCATGTGCAGGATGATAAGTGAATCCATATGCACTGATGAGATCACCAGAGGAAATCATATAGAGGGAGAAGAGAAAACGACCCAGGATAGAACCTGGGGAACACTGGTACTTCCATTTTGGAGAGAGGACTGGACTTTGTCTATTCCTGTCCTGGCTCTGCTTCTGACTGGACTTCTGGACCCACAATTATTAATGAATGTGACCTGGATATAGATCCAGCAAAAGAAAAACAGAAAAGAAACTGAAAAGGAGCAGTCTACTAGTAGGAAGAAAACCAGGAGAGAGCATTATTAGAAAAATCTAGAGAGGAGAGTATTAAGAAGAAGGTGATTGACAGTGTCAAAGACTGTACAGAGGTCAAGAATAAAATAAAAATTGAGCAAATCCATTAAATTTGGCAATTAAAAAATCATTGGTAACTGTGAACAGAGTAGTTTTAACTGAATTATGAGGTCAGAAACCAGACTGTGGAGATTTTAGAAGAGAGGAAGAAAGGAAAGGAAGTAGAAATGTAAGAATTTTAGCCACAAAAGGCAGGAGAGATATAGGGAGATGACTATTTGTTAGGAGGGTTTTCTGGAGAATTTTAATTTAGATATTATGTTAGACTAGAATTCCGAGGTTCCCTATATCCTTGAAATTTTGTGATTCCATGAAGCTCAGAAAGGATGTAATTGACCATAGGTAAAGCAGAATTGGGATTCAGACCCAGATGCTAAGATTTTAAAATCCAGTACTCTTTGTATTACAACATATTGGCCCTCAGAAATAGAATGGCAAGACATTCTTTCTAACAACTATTGTTTTCATATTCATACCAAACAGACCCTATCCCTTTCTTAATCTTCCTCTTACTCCAGAATAGCAAAACACATACACACAAAACTCTTTCTCTACTATTTGATATTTATTGCCTCACCTCAGACTGGGCTTTAGTCTTCCTGACATTTTTCATAAGACAGAACCTTGCCACTTTTTGTACTTGTCCTTATTTACCACTTTTCATGTGTATAAGAAGTATTCATAATACTTCATTCATTCACATATTGTGAAGCCTTAAAATGTAATACATAACGTGAGTTGTTATTTTTAAATTAGTTTGTTATTGACTTGTCTTTTTAGCTACATTTAGACACCTCTTTTTTTCTTCCTTATTTGAATCCACTGTGACTTCACTAGAATTTCTGTTTTGAGTGCCTCCCATTCCTTTTGCCCTAACTTCTCTGTTTCTCAGGCTATAGGATCCTATCAATCCCATCTGAACTTTTTGAACTCTAAACTCCTAAAATCCAAGCCAGGTTTTCCAGTAACCATCTGTTACAAATTCTAATCTAGCCATTCTCTCTCTCACTTATGTCTTAGAAAACCATAATTACTCCCCAAACTTTTGTATTTAAGCTTTATTAATACAGATTTAAATTAATTGTGTTTATGGATTCTGTGAATTTTTAAATACCTCTTGAGGTGTAATTTAAGATAATTCTTGGGAAATAGAAAGCAAGGTTCAAGAATCACCACTTTGGATAAGCAGCCTATCACTTAATGGCCACTATGAATGAAACTCAAAATTTTTTTTCAAATTTTTATATTTTTTCCAATTACACATAAAAACAATTTTTAACATTCATTTTTAAAAATGCTGAGTTCCAAATCCTCTATTTCCCACTCTCCCATACATCATACTTGAGAAGGAAACAATGTGATATAGATTATACAAGTGCAATCATGCAAAACATAATGCAAAAGAAAAAACACAGACCAAAGAAAAAATGTCAAGAAGATTTTAGAAAAGCATATTTCTATCTGCATTCAAACTTCCATCAGTTCTTTCTCTGGAGGTGATAGCATTTTTCATCATAAATACTTTGGAATTGTCTTGGATCATTGTATGGCTGAGAATAGCAAAGTCATTCACAGTTGTTCATCATATAATATTGCTATTACTGTGTAGGATGTTCTCCTACCTCTGCTCACTTCACTTTGTATCAAATTATATAAGTTTTTCCAGGTTTTTCTGAAACCATCCTGCTTGCCATTTCTTATAGCACAATAGTATTCCATCACAATCATATACCAACCACAACTTGTTCAGCCATTCCCCAATTGATGGGCATCCCTTCAATTTCCAGTTCTTTACCACCACAAAAACAGCTGCTATACATATTTTTGTGTATGTATGTATGTATGTATGTATGTATGTATGTATGTATGTATGTATGTATGTATATATGTAGATGTGTATGTGTGTAGATGTGTATATATATGTACATATGTATGTGTATATGTGTGTGTGTGTATACATATGCACACATATGTATACACACACACACATATATATATATAGGGTTTTTTTTCCTTTTTTAAAAAATCTCTTTGGGATACAGACCTAGTAGTGGTATTGCTGGGTCAAAGTGTGTGCATGATTTTATAGCGCTTTGGGCATAGTTCCAAATGCTCTCCAGAACGGTTGGATCAGTTCACAATTCTACCAATAGTGTATCAGTGTTTCAATTTTTCCATATCACCTCCAACATTTATCATTTTCCTTTTCTGTCATATTAGCCAGTCTGATAGGTGTGTGGTAGTACCTACCTCAAAGTTGTTTTAATTTGAATTTTTCTAATCCATAGTGATTTAAAGCATGTTTTCATATGACTTTGATTTCTTCTTTTGAAAACTGCCTGTTCATATCCTTTGACCATTTATCAGTTGGGGAATGACTTGTATTCTTATAAATTTGACTCAGTTCTCTATATATTGAAGAAATAAGGCCATTATCAGAGAAACTGTGTACATTTTTCCCCCAGTTTTTTGCTTTCCTTCCAATCTTGGCTGTATTCATTTTGTTTGTGCAAAAGCTTTAATCTAATATAAGCAAAAATTATACATTTTACAACCTGTAATACTGTCTTATTCTTGTTTGGTCATAAATTCTTTCCTTATGCATAAATCTGACATATAAAATTTTCCATGCTCCCCTAATTTGCTTATGGTGTCATTATTTGTGTCTAAATCATGTGCCCATTTTGACCTCATCTTGGTATACAGTGTGAGGTGTTCTCTATCTAGTTTCTGCCAAACTGCTTTCCAATTTTCCCAGCAATTTTTGTCAGATGGTGAATTCTTGTTCCAAAAGTTTGGATCTTTGGGTTTAACAAACACTAGATTACTGTGGTCATTTACTACTGTGTGTAGTGTACCTAATTTATTTCACTGGTCCACCACTCTTATTTCTTCTTCAGTACCAGACTGTTTTGATGATTACAGCTTTGAAATACAATTTGAGATATGGTACTCCTAGACCACTTTCCAAAACTTTACGCTCTGTTTTCCCATTAATTCCCTTGATATTCTTGACCTTTTGTTCTATCAGATGAATTTTGGTTATTATTTTTGTCATATATAGTTTGTTGGTAGTTTGATTGGCATGGCACTGAATAAGTAAATTAATTTAGGTAGAATTGTCATTTTTATTATATTGACAAAGCCTACCCATGAGCTATTGATATTTTTCTATTTGTTTACATCTGACTTTATCTGCATGAAAAGTGTTTTGTAATTACATTCATATGGCTTCTGGGTTTGTTGTGACAGGTAGACTCCCAATTATTTTACATTGTCTGCAGCTGTTTTAAATGGAATTTGTCTTTCTATCTCTTGCTGCTTGACTTTGTTGGTACTATATAAAAATGCTGATGATTTATGTGGGTTTATTTTTGTATCTTGCAATTTTGCTGAAGTTGTTAATTATTTCAATTAGTTTTTTAGCTGACTTCTGGGAAGGCTTCTAATCTCTCCCCATTACAGAAATAATGCTTGCTGATGGTTTTAGATAGATGCTACTAATCATTTTAAGGAAAGTTCCATTTATTTCTGTGCTCTCTAGTGTTTTTAATAGGAATGGGTGTTATTTTGTCTCAAAAGCTATTTTTGCATCTATTGAGATAATCACATGATTTGTTAGTATTGTTATTGATAGTGTCAATTTTACTGATAGTTTTCCTAATATTGAACCAGCCCAGCACTTCTAGTATAAATCCCACACGGTCATAGTATATGATCTTTGTGATATATTGCTGTAATCTCCTTGCTAGTATTTTATTAAAATTTTTGCATCAATATTCGTTAAGGAAATTGGTCTGTGGTTTTCTTTCTCTGTTTTAATTATTCCTGGTTTAGGTATCACCACCATATTTGCGTCATAAAAGAAATTTGGAAGGATTCCTTCTTTGCCTATTTTTCCAAATAGTTTATACAGTATTGGAATTAAATGTTCTTTAAATGTTTGGTAGAATTCACTCGTGAGTCATTTGGAGCTGGGGATTTTTTTCTTAGGTAGCTAATTTGTGTCTTGTTCAATTTCTTTTTCTAATGTCAGATCATTTAAGTATTCTATTTCCCCTTCTGTGAATCTAGGTAATTTATATTTTTGTAAATATTCATCCTTTTCATTTAAATTGTTAGGTTTATTGGCATATAGTTGAACAAAATAGCCCCCAATAATTGCTTCAATTTCATCTTCATTGGTGGTGAATTAACCATTTTCATTTTTGATACTAGTGATTTTCTTTTCTTTCTTTTTTTAATCAAATTAACCAATATATCTATTATATTGTTATTGTTGGTGTTTTTCATAAAACCAGCTCCAGTTTTATTTCAATGGTCAGTGGTTTTTAAATTTCTCACCTCTCCCATTCATCCTTTGCCATCCTATTTTTTTAGTTGTTAGTCATTTTTCAGTCGTGTCTGACCCCATTTGGGATTTTCTTGGTGAATATGCTAGAGTAGTTTGTCATTTTCTTCTCCAGCTCATTTTACAGATAAGGAAACTGACAGAAACAGGGTTAAGTGACTTGACCGGGGTTGTACAGATGGTAAGTGTCTGAGGACAGATTTGAACACGGGAAGAGGAGACTTCCTGATCCCAGGTGCTGACACTCCATCTTGTCATCTTTTTTACTACCCACTTACTACTCTACCTATTCCCATGTTCATTTCATTGTCTGGATCAGCTATCCCTGCACTGTTACCTTTCTCTCCCCAAAGTCTGCTGCTTTACTTGCCTTGTCTCTCATACTGTGGTGCCATTTTGTAGGTATTTATGAGCCATTAATTCCTAGAACATTTGTATTTCATTTAGATCATCTTGTCTCCCTTGCAGCACAGAGAACAGATGATATTGCATTTTCTTTTTGTTGTTTCAGGTGATGACACGAGAGTGGAAAAGGTAGAACTGGCTCCAAAGCAGATTTCTTCTGATATAGCATCACATGGTAGTAGTGTTCCTGGCACCCTCAATATGAATGTTCCCCAGGTTTTAAAATTTAGAGAAACCTGTGAAAGTGATGGCAGATTCAAAAGAAGGCAGGGAAATCCCTCTCGCAAAAAACAGTATAAATGTGATGAATGTGGTAAAAATTTCAGTCAAAGCTCAGCCCTTATTCTTCATCAGAGAATCCACAGTGGAGAGAAACCCTATGAATGTGATGAGTGTGCAAAAGCTTTCAGCAGAAGCTCAATTCTTATTCAACATAGGAGAATCCACACTGGGGAGAAGCCTTATATATGTCATGAATGTGGGAAAGCATTCAGCCAAAGTTCCAATCTTTTTAGACATAAGAGAAGGCACAATAAAGAAAAAATCCTAACAGTGTCATGAGTGTTTGAAAGCAATCAAAATCTTTTCATCAGAGAAGACTCAATAGACAAAGATCCTTTTGATGAAATCAGTTTAGTTTTAGTGGGCATAAATTCCCTATTGAAGATCAGAAAAGCCACTGTGGAGAATGTGAAACATTAATTACTGTTTCTTCCTTATATAATAGTACAGTACCATCCCTATCAGACATTTGAGAATCCTAGCTCTACTGCAGGCAGTCATCCTTAAGTCCCACTTGCTGGGGATCATCTATTAATTTATTTTATTTCCATTGCCATGTCAGCTAGATGGCTGTTTGCCCCTTCTCTAAAAATGTCCTTCTTAGATAATTTCTCCCTATTTAGAGTGAATATAAAAGTTTTATAAGGTAATTCATTTAAAAGATGGGCACTTTTTATTTTTTAAAATGCAGCGTAGGAATTCTAGCAACAAGTCTGAAGACATCTTTTTCAGCTATTCTATTAGGCCTGTTGATTTTGGCCTGGATCTAGAATTTCATTGGTGTAGAGAACATTTTGCACTGCACATCTGCAATTCAAACTATGGTCACACAGCTTGTATATATGAGAGACAGGACTTGAACTCAGATCTACCAGATTTCAAAGCCAGCACTCTTATCTACAACACCATGCAGTCTCTCTTGTTATCACACTCTAACATAAAGATTCAGGCTTATAGGAAGAGTAGCCAGAGAGGTATAGGCCCCAAAATAGATGGTCACCATTATCTAGAATGAGAGGTTATTGAGGTCAAGAAATGGACAACACTCCCAGGTTAGAAAACAGAAATACTATGATTGAAGCTAGTAAGAATGTAAATAGTATGTAGTTTAGAGCCAGCTCATGACAAGAACAAGATGCTTCCCTGTGTTTGTAGGAAGCCTCTAACTTTAAAAAATGTGTATGTAAAATAAGCTACCAAATCAGATTATCACGTGATATGAAAGTATATTATAACAAACTGATGTTATGCTAAGTGGTTGTAGCATCCTCATCATCTAGGAAATGAAAAGTTGTAGAGTAAGACCTTTTCGGTGTATCTGCAGCATTGTCTAAGAGGATCCCCTTTATTAGCTGACGTGTGTCTAATTATATTGGCAAGCATATCTTTATAGTGAAGAAGTGTGATTGATTGGGCTATTGCATCTTATTGCAAGTATCACTTAAAATTGAGGCAAAGGGAACTTTAGATAACTTTGTTACAAAATTTCAGAAGTCTCAGTACCTGAGAGGCTACTTAGTTCAACCCATAACTTAACAAGGAACCTATAACTTAGCAGTATACACCAGATAGCTCAATACCAAAAAAAGGTAACTATCTAACTCAACTATGTAATTGCAGTTAATAGATATATTTCCTCAACATAAATTAAAAATTGACTTGCTAATACAAATAAATCTTGGGATTTGGGGTAAGCTTAACTACTGCTTCCAAACATAGAGTTGAGATTTCAGTCTAGACCCATGATGATACCACAAAAATGTAGAAATTGGTAATACCTGATTTAAAGAACTTGCCAAAATCTTTTGTATACATTCTTCAAAATTGAAGTTAAAAACATCTCCACCATAGTTTATAAGTTTTAAAGATTTTATATTTTTCAGCAGCTAATCAATACATATTGGGCAAATATAGTAGCACAGAAATTATACCAACATGTTTAATGGAAACAAGTGTTTTATTTGAAAATAAAGTAACTGGTTTATTTATTTAAATTACTTTGACAGAAACTGATAAACTAATTTTCCCTTTTTAGGGATTCATTATACGTATTATAATAATACACATTTTGTTAGTGATAATGCCTATGTAATGTACTCCATTGACTGTATTCTGCTGTTATGCTTCAATTACACTACTGGCTAGAAAAACATCAGATATAAAGATGAGACATGGGAAGGAAGAAGGAACAGAAGGTACCTGTAAGTGGCCCTTTGGTCTACCTGTAACTGCCACAAAGTATAATCATTTCACACTTCTCCCAAGATTATTAATATATGTAGTACTTTGGAAGATTCCAAAGGGTTGGAATTCGTGTAGGCCAGTTAACGATATATGTGACAAATACATAGCAACTAGTCATTAAAAAAAAGCCAGTAGGGAGAAGTGAATGCAAAATGGAGCTTGTTTATAAATATGCTGATAGTAATTGTCATGTGGAATATAGAGTTAAGTATGTATATATGACTATGTATTGATATAATGTATTATTTTATGTTATAGAAAATGAAAAGGTCTTTTGTTTGTGACTCATTCTCCTTGTGGCTGAAAGGAACAAACCAATGACCAATAAAGCAATGACCTCCCCATAGATAATCATTGTTGTGTGTTATTCCCCCAATAATTAGATGATAAGTCATTGCTTTAGGACTTAGATACCTTTCAGGTAAAACTGGACAGTCTAAATCAGGTAAACTGAGGGGTACAACTACCCTCATTTGGTTAAGCATTCGTTCAGCAAGCATTTATTAAGTGCTTAAAACATACCAGGCTCTGGGGATACAAAACAAAAACAACCCCTGCCCTGATGTTCTACTGGGGGAAACAATGATAATGTGGATAAGTAAGTACAAAAAATATTCAAAATAATATGGAATAGGGGAGACGTTCTGAACAATTGGAGGAATCAGGAAAGACCTTGTGTAGAAGATGACACTTGTACTAAGCCTGGTTGGAAAATAGGAATTCAAAAAAAACAAGTGAGGAGAGAAGTATATTCTAGGTATGGGAGTTGACCTGCGGAAAGGCTCAAAGATGGGAGATGAATGTCATGTACAGCCAGTTACACCAATCTGGTTACAGTGTGTGTAAAGGGCACAACATATGATAAACCTCAAAAGATGGGGCATACCCAGATTATGAAGAGCTTGTAAGCACCAAACGACAAAAGAGTTTGTATAGCAATTCAGTATGACATGATCAAAACTTCCCCTGGGGACCATAGATAAGAAATCTGATCACAGTATTCTTCCTTTCTTAACAGTTGTTTTGTTTTTTGTTTTGTTTTTTAGTGAGGCAATTGGGGTTAAGTGACTTGTCCAGAGTCACGCAGCTAGCGAGTGTTCTGTATCTAAGGCCAGATTCGAACTCTGGTGTTACTGACTCCAGAGCCAGTGCTCTATCCACTGCACCACCTAACTGCCCCCCCCAATAGTTGAACAAGCCCTTTAAAGTTTTAGAAAACATGGAGGTCTCTATCTGGCAAATGTAGACAATTTCTAGGCATAATCAAGATATTTAGTACCTACCATTAGGTAAATGAAATAACCTCCAAAGACAGAAGATTTAGGGAGGATGTGATAGTTGTCTTCAATATTTTAAGTCTCATTGTGGAAGATATATTAGACTTGTTCTGCTTAGACCTAGAAGGTAGACGATATAGCAGGGATATTTTTGCAGAGAAACAAACTTTGACTTCATCTAAAAAATAGAATGGGCTGTTTCAGTTCAACAAACATTAAGTGACAACGATGTGAAAGACATTGCCCTGAGAGCTGGGGGTACAAAACAAAACTAAGTTTCTGCTTTCAAAGAATATACATTCTATGGTGGAAAGGTAGTGGGTTCCCCCTAACTGTAGGTCTTCCAGCAGAAGCTGAAATCACAGAGTGGATTCCTCTTCAGGATTGAATTTAAATGGCCCCTGAGGCCCAAATCCAGATTCTGAGATTGTGTGATTTTACAAGTCTATAATGCTTTTGATTGCAAGTAACTAAAAATTCAAATTAGTTGTAGTAGAAAAATATCGGCCAATGCACCTTACTTTTTGAGGTTGAGGGGTGCTGGGACTCCGATAGCGACATGTGGGTCCTGCCGGAATGAATTCGACCCAAGCCTTTTTTCAGCCAAAACAAGGTTTATTAAAACACAGATAGAGAGTGGGTTTGATTCTAACAATCTGCTCTGCTTAGATGAGAATGACTCTTTTTATAGAAAAAGGATCTGGATGGAAGTGGCCAGTAGATTGGGGTGACTGCAAGGTAGCAGAGAACCCCAGGGACCTGGACCACGTGGCCAAGAGAGAATGGGGTCTAGATAGAATCAAGAGTGGGAAGTAGCCAGGGGCTACTGGAGGTAATGGACAATATGGAGGGCTGGCACAGCAGAGAATTGGGAAATTGGACTTAGGCTACAATGAAAGGCCAGTTGACTGGAATGGGTTAGTGCCTCAGGCAAATGCCAGAGACTTGGATCAGGTGGGAAAATTCAAGGAGAGTTCAAGGTGGGGTTTCCAGGGCCGGTAGACAAATGCGACCCAAATTCTTTTGGGGTAAGGGGCCATGGTTTTGGCTTGGGCCTGTACTTGGTCATACCAACTTAAGAAAAATTTGCCTAGTGAGTTGTCTGTTCTGGCTCAAGCTTTTTGTTAGAACTAATAAAGCAGAGATCAAAGTTTTTGAGCAAAAGGACCAAACTTTCAATTTCCCCAGCCATTTAACCAAAAGAAATTTAGCTCTGCATGTTTTCAAGCATTCCTGAAATTCTACATCATCTGACCCAGTTTTCCTTCCTCCTTCCTTAAAAAAAAATTGTTGTAATCAATGTATATACAGTTCTGGTCTTTTTTATTTCCTTCCTTGTGTATTTCATATTTTATAATTTTTATGGCATGATAATATCCCATTACATTGATAAACCATAATGTGTGCATTCTCCAAATAAACAGCAAGCATCTGTTAAGTGCCTCCTATGTTCGAAGCATTGTGGTAGGTGGTGGACTCCAAAAACAAAAGTGAAACAGTCTTTACCCTCAAAAAGCTTACATTTTAAAAGGTAATTTGAGGGATGTGGGGGCAGGTGCAGAAAGACACTAGGAAAGGCTTCATGTAGACGGTGATGCTTTCGCTGTCTTAATTATGTGGGGGTATGAGTAGTTTCAATTTTTTGTCATTTCCAAATCTTCCTTCCCCCCCATATATATATATGCGCGCGTGTGTGTGTGTGTGTCTGTGTGTGTGTGTGCGCATTTTCCCATTAGTCTGACATTTTAAAGTGTTTGCCATCCTAGCAGGTACGAAGTGGCATCCTGACATTATGTAACCTAATGAATGCATTACTGGAAAGCTATTGGAGAAATTGTTTCAGACACCTGGTTTAACAATTGTTATCTGTGGAAAAGGAGGTTGCTGCTAGGTTATAGAAGGTTTTAAAAAACAAATCGTTTATAAGTTTCAAAAGTCTTAGTGCAGTTTTAAATTTTAGTTATCAAAACTGCACTGACTTTTGCAATGCCTTGTATTTTATCCTAGAGTCGTTAGGGAGCCAGTGGAGTTTAATTAACAAGGGAACGTCATGGTCGGCCTTGTACTTTAAGAAAATCACTCTCTCAGCCGTGCGGAGGGCAGATTGGAAAAGAGAAAATCTCGAGATAACGAAGACCTGGTGGTGACTTCAGCGGCTTCGTGCACAGTGAGATGATGCCAGATGCTAGAGATACTGTGGAGGAGAAAGGCAGCATCTGGCAACTGATTGCAAATGTCGGGTGAGACAGGATGAGGGCAGTAGCCCAGGTAATGAATAGAGCGGACTGCCCTTCTGCTCCACATCTGTGGTCATGTGCTCCTAGGACTCTCCACTCCCTCGCCTCTCCCGCAGCCGTTTGAGGCATTTCTCTCCTGGCCGGACCAGGAGAGAACCGGAAGCAGCTCCGCCAGGAGGCTTCTGGGAGAACGTTTTCCTAACATCCTTTTACGACAGCCCGGAAAGGCGAGCCGCCTGCTTCCAAGGCTGGGGGTGAGGACGAGGAGCCTGCGGGGGAAGCCGGCAGTCAGGCAATCAGAAGTGGGGGGACAGAAACCGAGGAGCCGGGAGGCTTCATCCTTGTGTCCGAAGGGCTACTCGTGGAGACACCGCAGCACCCACAGCCAGAGATTTGCGAGGAAGGACAGGGAAGGGGGAGAGGAGAACTTGCGATTCTCCATGGCAACCCTCTTGTGACGTTTTAAACCCCATCTCCATCCCCAGCCGCAGAGTCATTGAGAGTTGAGTATTCCAAGGGAGGTTCCTGTCTGGAGAAAGTAGGGGCCGCGCGCGAGGGTTTCTGGGAAGAGTAGTCCGGGCTGGGTGTGTGCGGAAGTCTTCAAAGGGTCCTCTTGGAATTAGGTGAGTGCTGGGCTGAGGGAGTGAAAGAGCTCCGGTTCCCCCCGCACGTCGCCTCCGCGGCTCTTCTGGGATGTGCCCGGGGGTGCTTGGAGGCCCAGGACCCGGCAGCCGAAACAGGAGAGTTGCTTTTAGAGCGTGGGCCTGCTCTGTCCGTGGCCTCTGCTCCTCGCTGGCCCTTCCCAGCCCCACTCCCTCCTTACTGAGCTGAAGGGGAAATTTTTCTCAGAAAATAGGCCAAAAAAAAAGGAGCTTTTTCTTAAGTTGCTTTTGATTAATCGTTGCTTTTTCTGGCCAATAAATGAACAAACATTTTTTAAAAGATACATACAAGTGCCAAGCACTGTACTAAGCCCTGGAAATACACCAACTAAATAATGATGCATTCTGTCAAGGAGCTTACATTCTATTGAGGAAAACAACCTTTACGTAATTAAGGATATACAAAATAAAAACAAGATAATTTTGGAAAGAGCACTAGCATCTTGGGAAAGGTTTCTTGCAGAAAGTGTTGCTTGAGTTGTTTTGAAAGAAACAGAGATTAAGAGGCAGAGATGAGGGAGTGCATTCCAGGCATAGGATGCAGTCAGTGCAAAGTCAAGAAGATGGGGAGATGGAGTGTCTTTTGTGAAGACCAGCAAGGTCAGTCTGACTGCACTGCAAGAGTGTGGGGAAAACGAGTGGATATATGAGGGAGTGTGGAAAGGCAGGTTGGGAAAAGGTTGTGAAGGGTTTAAAATGTTAAAACCTTTTTCTATATGATATTTGTTTGAATTTAATCCTAAGGTATTAAGGAACCACTGGAGTGTTCATTGAGTGAGAGAGTTACATGGTTACACTTGTGCTTTAGGAAAACCGTTCTAGTAGCTTTGTGGTGAATGGATTGGAGTGGAGAGAAATAAGACAAGAAGAGAGAATGGGAGACTATTGCAGTAGTCCGTGCAGTGGTGATGTGGGCCTGAACCAGAAGCGGGTGAAGATGAGTGACATTTGAGATGTTAGAGAGATAGAAAGATAAATATTTGGCAACTCAATAAGTATGTGGAGTAAGGAAAGGAGATTTCCAAAAACAAACAAAAACTTTGAGCCCAGTCTGGATTAAGAATGAGAGAGCAGACTACTAGACCCTGTTGCTGATAAGGGGCTTATCTCTGACTCCTAGAGTTGATTGGAGTCCCTTTCTCCTGGTTAGTACATTGTGAGCTTTTTGAAGAGGAATAATGAATCCTTGATCATAGTTACTGAGTAGACTTGAGTCTTGTTCAGTTTATTTAAGTAAATAAAGAAATGAACAGGACCTAAGGTGAAGGTAGAAGGAAGGTAGAAGTGGGTAAAATTTTTCTATCACTTATCTTTGGTTCACTGGAGGGAAAAAAAAAGGTGCCCTGGCCACCCACAAACAAAAAAAACAGTAAAGACCCATATAAGATTTGAGCAGATATTGCCATAGCGTTACAGATTTTACTCTACCACCTATTTCATCATGCTTATAGACTATATGTATTGAAAATTATTTGAAGACAAAATTAGGGGAGCTGCTTAAATTTTTAAGAACCACTTTCTGGGGGCAGCTAGGTGGCACAATGGATAGAGTTCCAGCCTTGGAGTCAGGAGGACCTGAGTTCAAATGCAGTCTCAGACACATAGCCCACAACACTTACTAGCAGTGTGACCCTGGGCAAGTCACTTAACCCCGATTGCCTAGCCAAAAAAAAAAAAAAAGAACCGTTTCCTGGGGAACAATGAATATATTATCCGCAGTTCTTAGGTAGCTGTTTCCCTAGAATCTGACCTGTACACTGGAGGTTTCTCACAGATTTTTAGTTCATTCTTTGTCGTTCTAGCTAATCTTCTATTTGCTGTTTTCACAATCATCTCTGTGACTATATGAATAATTGGTGATAATTTCTCATATTCATTTAAATTGCTCTTTACAATTTACAGAGGCTTTTTACAATTTTAGAGGCAGTTGGTGACACAGTGGATAGAGCACTAGGCCTGGAGTCAGTAAGACCTGAGTTCAAATCCAGCCTTAGACACACACTAGCTTTGTGATCCTGGGCAATTCTCTTAAACTCTCTCAGCCTCCGTTTCCTCAACTGTAAAATAGGGATAGTGCCAGGCACATGGTAATTGCAGTATGAATGCTGATTCCTTTCCGGTTTGTCACAACACACCTGTGAGGGAAGAAGTACAAGTATCATTCCCCTTTTACAGATGAGGAAATTGAAGCCCAGGGAAATTTAATGGCTTAAAGTTACAGAGCCAATAAGTAGTAAAGCAAAGACTAGCATTAGAACCAGCATAGTTAGAGTGCTTTGGCTTTTCTGACCAGATTTTCCTTTCCTTTTATAAGGTTGTGGTTTACATAAGGAATAAATATCAACGTTTCTTTGTTCAGTCTTATTTTTCCATCCTTACTAAATGACTAGGTCTTGACTAGCATTCATTGTCATATATGTCTAAGCCTTTAGGGTTAGTTATTTGTTGCTGCTGATTTTTTTTGTCCAATATTCCAGAAGTGGCTTTGAAGAAGAGGCTGAAGGTAACTAAGACTGGACACTAGCTGAAGTAAGTTTCCTTCTGAGATAGTCTCATTCAGAATGTCTGCAGAATTGAGTGAGGATTCAATATTGATTTCTCCCACTCCAACTGAAAAAGAGAGTATTTTGAGAGTGAAGATAGAAGAGGACCGCTCCTATGAACAGGGATCTAGTGTCCACTGGAACAGCTGCCATGGTCCAGAAATCTTTCGCCAACAGTTCAGGCAGTTTGGGTACCAAGATTCACCAGGGCCCCGTGAAGCCCTGAGCCAACTCCGTCAGCTTTGCCGTCTCTGGCTTAGACCAGAGAGGCACACAAAGGAGCAGATCCTAGAGCTACTGTCCTGGAGCAGTTCCTGACCATCTTGCCCAAGGAACTCCAGACCTGGGTTCGAGAGCATCATCCAGAAAATGGGGAAGAGGCAGTGACCATTCTAGAAGATTTGGAGAGAGAGCTTGATGAACCAGGACATCAGGTAGGAAGAGGGAAAGGTTATCTAAAATAACTTCTTGATACTCTTTTCTTTCTATATTTTGAGGACACCACTCTCTCCTGGTTTTCCTCCTACCTATCTGACCTCAATTTCTCTTACTCACTTTCTGGATCTTCCTCTAGATCACACCCTCTAACCATAGGTATCCCTCAGGGTTCTATTCTTATCCCTCCTCTCTTCTATACTGCTTCACTTGGTGATCTCATCAACTCCCATGGATTTAATTACCATCTTTATGCTGATGATTCTTAAATCTACTAATTCTGCCCCAATCTTTTTCCTGACTTCCCATTTTGCATCTCCAGCTGCCCTTAAGACATCTCTAGCTTCATGTTCAGTAGAAATCTTTAACTCAATATGTCCAAAATAGAACTCATCTTCCCCTCTAAACCCTTCCCCGCTCCTGCCTTCCCTGTTACTGTAGAGGGCAACACCATCTTTCCATCCCTCAGGCTCACAGCCTAGGAGTCATCCGGGATTCTTCACTATCTCTCACCCCCTGTCCAATCTCTTGCCAAGGCCTATTGATTTCACTTTTGCAGCATCTCTCCAATATGCCCACTTCTCTCCTCTGACACTGCCACCACTCTAGTGCAGGGTTTCATCACCTCCTACCTGGAATATTTCAGTAGCCTGCCCCATTCCAATGCATCCTCCATTTAGCCACTAAAGTGGCTTTCCTAAAGTGCAGGTCCTGTCATGCCACACACACAAACATACCTCTGTTCAGTAAACTCCAGTGGCTTCCTGTTGCCTCCAGGAGCAAATACAAAAATGCTGTTTGGCATTCAAAGTCCTTCATAATCTAGCCCCACTCCTACCTTTCCATTCCTCTTATACCTTATTCCCTGACACATATGCTTCAATCCAGTAACACTGGCCTCCTGGCAGTTCCACACAAGACACTCTACATCTTAGGTCTAGGCATTTTCTTTGGTTGTTCCCCATTTCCGGAAAGCTCTCCATTCTCCTCTATGACTACTGACCTCCCTGGATTCCTTTAAATTCTAACCCAAATCCCACCTTCTACAGCCGTTCCTAACCCCTAACTTCAGTGCCTTCTTTCTGTTAATTATTTCCTGTTTATTCTGTAATATAGCTTGAGATATATAGATATTTGTTTGCATGTTGTCTTTCCCATTAAATTGTAAGCTCCTTGAGAACAGGGACTGTTTTTTGCCTCTTTTTGTATCCTCAGCATTTAGCACAGTGCCTAGCATAGAGTAATCGATTAATAAATGTTTATTGATTGATAGTGTGGGTATGGACCTTTGGACTTGTTTTGGAGCATTTATTGGAATAGTTTATTTTGAATAATTTATTGGAATAGAGAAAATAACTGAATTTCGTTCTGGAGAATGAATCAGTTTGGAATTAGAGGTCCCTATGTGTATCTGTTTTCTCCTGTTACCTGATCCATTTCTAGGTGCTAGAATGAAAGTATCTTTGCCTTGTTGATTTTTCCTGGAATGTTCTTTTTTCTCTGCTTTATTTCCAGTTCTAGTTGTGATTTCCTTCCAATCACCTATCCTCCCCCAATAACTAAATTGATTCCAGGTCTCATTCAGTGGTCAAGCACAAGAAGACCTTATAGAGGAGATGGAACCTCAGGAAACAGCTGAGGAGTCATCAAATATACAGCCACTGCCCATGGAAAATGAGCTTAAGTGGGAAGCGTGGGAGTTCCACCCGCTAAGACACAGTGGTAAGGAGCTGGCTTCTATCTGGTTTAGAATATATAGCACAAAATATTGGTGCCTTTGTCAATAATGTCCTACAAAACTTTTCTTGCTCATTTACCTTTCCTTAGGAAGTGCCCCTCTCCAAGTGAGAAAAGTGCCTCCCTGTATATATAGTGTGCTTCCTATAATTTTAGCATAACTTCTTGTTATCAGATTGTCATGAGCTTCTAGGAATTTTTATTCCCACATGTCGGTTGCATCAGTTATTTCTCCACTTGTAACCTTTTTCTTGGTAATTTATTTACCCAATAAGAGTAAGTTTTCAAATTACCAAGATCTCTTCTAAATACTAAAGCAATTAATTTGATTTATTTTTAATGTAAAATATCACAAGCTTATCTCATTAGAGTTGTCATTATTATGCTATTACCCTGTGTACTGCCCTTCACCCTAATATTTGATGACATTCTGTATTTTATTTTAAATCTCAAGAATAATTTTGTTTACCTGACATTACTGTGTCCCTCCTCCCTTTACCTCCCTCCCTCTTGCCTTACAGCTCCTTAGCCTATACATTTCAGAAATATTTTCTGACTGATCACCATTCATCTGATGTCTGAACCCTTACTCCCTTAAAATGAAGGAATGTTGCAGCAGCTCAGAATCATCAAAGCTTAGTATTGGAAAGGGCCTCAGAGGACATATTTCATCCAAATACCTGAAGGATGATTTCATTTTTGAACACTTCAAATAACATTGAATTCTCACTACATTTTTAGACTTGCTTAAATGTGTTAATTACATTTTCATTTTCCTCTCCAATAGCAACTTTCAGATTCTATAACTCGTATAGATCAGAATTCAGATAAAAAATGCAAAATTCCATCATTCATACGTTGTTACTTCTCTGACCGTATACTTTTATCTATATTTTCCAATCCTATATTCCACTTGATTTCTCACTCTCTCTTTGCTGATGGTTTTTTCCTAACTTGAACCCTTTTTTAATAGGTCTTTGACTGCTTTTCTACTCATTAAGAAAGGGTTTTTTACTGCCCATAATAATGATTACCTCATTTTTCTCGTATTTTTTCCACTTCTGACTAATGGTAATTTTGTTTTACCCTCTCTTTCACACTCACCCTTATTATTATGATAACATTTCACAGAAATATACAAACCATTAGTGTTAGTGTGTTTATGTTTTATTTATCTGTCTCCAGTAGGTTCCCTTCTTGAAACACGGGGAATAAGTAACATTTGTATTTTCTGTTGTTTCAGATGGTGATACTCAGACTGAGAATGGGGAGTCCCCTCCAGATCAAGAGATTTCTTCAGGCATGGAACCACAGGATGATATTTCTGGCACCCTTAATATAGACGTTGCTCAGATTTTCAAATATGGAGAAATCTGTCAGCGTGAGGGCAGATTTGAAAGAAAGCAGGGAAATCCCTCTCGTAAAAAACAGCATAAATGTGATGAATGTGGTAAACTTTTCAGCCAGAGCTCGGCCCTGATTTTACACCAGAGAATCCACAGTGGGGAGAAACCTTATGAATGTGATGAGTGTGGGAAAGCCTTCAGCAGGAGTTCAATCCTTATTCAACATCAGAGAATCCACACTGGAGAAAAACCATATAAATGTCATGAATGTGGGAAAGCTTTCAGTCAGAATTCTGGGCTTATTAATCATCAGAGAATCCATACTGGGGAAAAACCCTATGAATGTAGTGAGTGTGGGAAAGCTTATAGTCAAAGCTCAAATCTTTTTAGGCATCAGCGAAGACACAGTGAAGAAAAAATCCTATCAATGTCATGAATGTGTAAAAATATTCTTATAGAGGTTGGGCCTTTTTCATCAGAAAAGAAGGTGTAATGGGGAAGGAGGGAATCAATTTAGTTTTAGTGGACTAAGTAGTTCCCTCTTAACATCATCCACGTGGAAAATGAGGGAGATCTGTAGTCATTATTTCTACTTTATCTGTCTTTATGTTGTTACACCTTTCTATAGACTCTCAGAATCTTAACCTTATTTTTGATATTTATTTCTAAATTTCCTGTTTGTAAACTCCTCTGCCTGCCCTGTTTCAAAGCTTTCTTGTTAAGACAAGTGAATTGTTTCTGTATTCAGAATATGAGTCCCTTCAAAGACAGATTTTATGTCCTGTTAAAAATGCAACACCAGAACTCTAAAGACCAAATCTCCAAAGCACCATTTCTGACTTTTAAATTGTCATCTTTTGTTAAAATCTTGTTTGCAAATCAGGCTCTAGGAATGATACATAGCTCAAAAGAAAGAGGTAGACCTTTTAATGTAAAACAAAAGGAAATTAATCTATATACATTAAGTGCCTAGTGTGTGTTAGGCACTGTACTAAGCTCTGGGCATAGAAAAAGTCAAAAAACTACCTGCTCTCAAGGAGCTCACAATCCAATGAAGGAGACCACAAATGTGTACAAACAAGCTGCATACAGGATAAAAGATGAGAGGCATTAAGAGGGATTGAGAAAGGTTTCTTAGAGAAGATGGATTTTTGTTGGGACTTGAAGAAAGCTGGTAGGCAGAGATGAGAGGGAGAGCATTCCAGGCATGGGGGACGAGGCCGGTGTCACGGGATTGAAGAGTATATAGCAAGGAGTAAGGTGTAAGAAGAATGAAAATGGGTGGGGAACAAGGGTGTGTTGCCCCTTGTAGTGCCAAACATAGGATTATGTATTTGATCCTGGAGGTAATAAGGAGCCACTGGAATTTATTGAGTAGGGAGATGACATAGGTCAGAGTCAAACATTGAAAAGCAGACATGGCACTTAAATCAGAAAAGGGATAAACTCTTTTATTGAATAAGGATTGATTGATAATAATAAGACTCCATGCATTATGAGTACAGTTATCTATCTTTTTAAAAAATGTCCAAAGCTATCTAATTTGTAGACAGTTTACTGATGAAGTTACAGTACCAACATATATCTTATCAGGAAATAGTCAATTAAAATACAGCTTTAAGATGGGAAGTTTTAGGATATGAGAATGTGTTGTAGTTACACATGTTAAGAGGATAATGGTGTCATCCAGGTCATATTGGAGTCTAGGAAAAGGATAGTTGGAGAATAAAACTTATCAGCATGTCTCCAGCACTCTCTATTTGATAATTAAGTACCTACTATGTGCTTAGCCCTGTGCTAATCACTGGGTTTACAAATAACTAATTCCAACTTTCAAGGGGCTTATATTCTAACGTGGAGGGTGAGAAGTTCACTGAGAGTGCTAGCTGCTGGCATAAGTATCTAGTCAATCCAGCCAATATATTGCTGTGGATGAGAACCACTGAGATTGAAAAAGAAGTAGTGAGCACTTACAAGTTCCTCAATGTTACTGTAGCTTGGTACCTACCACTATGGATTATAAACTAGTTTTCTGCTATAAATCGGTGTCTTGAGAATGTAGGGAAATATAGACTTTTTCTTCCCTAGGATATACTTATTGCTGAGTAAGTTGATCCCTTAGAACTAATGCCACCACCAGAAATCTAAGGGTTTTAGATTAAAGAGTTTTCGAGCAGCCCTTAGTAGCATTCTTCATCTCCAAGTTGAAGCTGCTCTCTATTGCGAGTTCTAAAGCTTTTCAAAAGATCTTAATAGCTAACTACTCAGACACCAGGTATCCTTAAAGTTATACCTTTATGTTTAATTGATCACATGTTCTGTTTAAAAATAAAATTTTTGGTTTGTTCATGTCTAAAATATCTATCAGACTTCACAAAACTAATTTTCAGTGTTTCCAGGTTTCTTAACTTGTCAATAGGGTCATTATAATAATACACATATTATTAGTCACTAGACTGTGTACTCCATGGCTATGTAGCCCAGGTTCATTGCTTGGTGGAAAACACTAGTAGCAAAATAAGGCTCTGAGAAAGAGGAGGGGGAAAAAAAAGTATGTTTATAGTGACCCTTTGATGCTGACCCTTAGGAATTTTAATCATTTTAGTCTCAAAATAATTAACTATCTAATGCTTGGAGTGCCTTCAAAGTAAAATGGGATTGTCATTGGCCAGTTAAAAATAGTGGTAAATAAAAGGGCAGCAGGTGGAGAAGTGGATGCAAAAAGAAGCTCGTTAATAGATATACTGATCGTGATTAACCAAGAAATGTGCTTTATAGATTTAACAGTGTACAAATATGTCTTGATACTATGTATTTGAAGTTATAAAAGGGTCTTTTGCTTGGGACTCATTCTACTTGTAGTTACTAAGAGAGAACAAGTGATGTCTAATAAAGCTATGAGCTCTCCCTAAAATAAATATATCTTGCATTATTCCTGAGTGCTAGTATGAAAGAACAGGGTTGGAACTAGTAGGTGAGATTGCAGATTTAAGAAAGATTATATAAAGGAAACAGTCACCCACACCTTAAATTGCAAGCTGTGCAAGAAATTAGAAAATCCAAAGGCTTCCTTTAAATGGGAGGATGCTTTCAGAGGAGCTAGGCTAGCAGTTAAGTCCTTGATATCTAAGCACAAATCAGCCCTGAACATCTGAAAGGATTTATCTTTGTGGAATCCATTGCTACATCCTCTTTTTGCTGCACTGGTTTATCCCAACTAGAGGCACTGTAGCTTAGAATACAAAGACCCCTTTCTGAGGACATAATCCTTTGGCATTGCTCTAACTGATCTTGATAGAATAATGGCACCTCTTAGTGGTTAAGGTAGGTAACCTCAGACTTGGATTCTGTACGTTTAAAAGTTAGAAGTTGGAGTTGTCCTCCAACTTTCTGCAAATGTTCTTACCCTTTTACCTCATAAGCAGTTTTTCCTGGATACACCATATCCCCCAAAATCTGAAAGGATTTTGGACTCCCTCTACAAGAGAATACTTTCTTTCTCACTCCTTGCTACTAAATCTATAACAAACCACATACCAGTATAGGCACCATCACCTGGAATGGCACCAACCCCAAAATATTTGGTCACAACTTCCTATCACAGGACCATAGATTTAGAACTTGAAAAGGTTCAGCCTTCTTATTTTACAAATGAGAAAACAGGCCTAGAGATTTAAAGTGATTTGCCCAGTATCACATAGCAAGTAGCAGATCTCTTATTTGTAAGACCCTTTGATTCCAGATCTACCATTTAAAAAAAAAAGTTCTAATGATAAACTTTTTTTACAACTGTTTTTCCTGATGCACAGCACATGCATGAAAATATACACGTAATTGAAAATGTGTAGAGCCCAATTTGAACCCTTTGTAAAAAAATTAGTAAACTGAGAGAAACTGTCTGCCACAATATACACTATTCTGTAGATGTGACCCACCTCTACTGAGAGTATGCAGGTGTATTTAATATCAGTTTCTGCAGGAGATCAAGACAGTATTGTCCCATGGTAGGATTATGCACTTTGTTATTGAGCTGTTTCTTCCATTTGTTCATTTTTACCTTCTTTATTTGCCTCAAAATCCATGCCCTCCCACTCTTCTGGATGTCAGTTGCCCTCAGGAGCAATGAGGTATAATGAGTGGTCTTTCTATGCACCAAATCTCTGCAAATAATATTGTAAGAGTCCCATCTCTCTTTATAGAATCTCTCTCTCTCCCCGTTGGAGCAATCATTGGTAGTACTCCCACCACTGAAACAAGATTTTCCCCTTCCCCTTTATCAATCCTTGTCTTACCTCCACGCCCATTCTTCTGTAGGCTGTCTTCTTCCTGAGACTAAAGGAGTTATTTTCCTCTCATTGTTAACCTTTGACTTGATTAGGTTACATCACATATTCCCCTCTGTCATCTTCCTCTCATCCCACTTTTTTATGCATCCTTCCATTTTATAATTTAGTCCTGAAAAACATCAATTCACCTGTAGGTTGGTTGTTGGGAGTTTTATTCCATGATATTTTAGGCCTACTTGTCTCCCATTTATTTAGAAAGAAGTCTCATAATGGTTTCTCTTGTTAATTTGTTGTTGTCCTTTATTGCTTTATTTGTTTATCCTTATATTTCTGTTGTCTGGGTTGTTTGAGAAGCAAATAATTTCTCAAGTCTAGTTTTCTTTCTAAGAATGTTTCAAAATCCTTTTTATTATTGATGTCCCAAACATCTTATTCTTTCCCCCATATCACCTCAATCAATCTCAACATGTATTAAGAAAAGAAGTCACTCAGGGTGAGAACGAATCTTTTAACTCTTTAATCTACATCACACACTCCTTAACATCAGCTCAGATTTTTTCAGTCTCTAAAGACGTAGCCCTTCTCAACTAAGAATATACATATATTCTTATATCTGGGGTGTACAGGTATTCAGGGAAAACTAGTACCTCTGGTTTGAGGTTGCCAAGCCTTTTTCAGGGCTGTTTGGGGTCCACCTGCCACCCAACTTACACTGTGGTGCCAAAAAGCTGTATCGTGTGCGGCAGCCCTATCCCACTAAGCCATTTTGGCAGACAGGCTAAACCAGGTTTGAGAGTAACCGATGGGCCTCCAGACTATCGGTGAGTTAGTGGGGTATCTACTCCAAGCATGTGGAGACTTGGAGGAATAGGCTGATGTGAGCAATTTCTTCCAGTGGCCACATAGGTGGCAGAATCAGACACTGTGGAGTGCCTGGAACTTGGTTAGACATCAAAAATGCCAAGGTCATCCACTGCACCTCTAGCCATTGACAGTTGTCTTGACTTTTGTCTTGCCACTAGATTTCAATGACTCAGGAAGAGAAAGTGAAACCAACTACTTCAGCAATTCTGCCTCACTTAAATCCAATTCATGTCGTGAGTCAAAAGACATCACCCATACCATTATAAACATTTTTACCGATCTTAAAGTCCCGTGGTGATGGACAAGTGACAAAGTAGCAGGTACAGATACACTGGAAGCTGTAGTCATAAGCCTGCACATAGGCAGTCTAGGCCATAGGGTGATCTTCTTACTGGACTGAAGCAACAGTGGGATTTGGCAGCCCCTGGGTATCTGAGTAGCCTTTTTTAAAAGACTATTTTGCTCACCTCCTGGCATGAGGAAGGGGCTAAAAAAAGGTACCCTAAAAGTTATCTGCTTCACCTAACCTAATTCTGTTTACTGTAGCAGGTAGCAGTTCAAAAAACAGAAAAAGTACAAAAACTTTTGCAAAGATGATTCCACTCACTGCTCGCATAGAATGTTTGCATGCTTATAGACCAAGAGAAATCCAGTAGACCTGAAAGACAGACAGCTCTGGTGAGAGATCTCAGCAGGTATTGCATCCAAATAGAAGCCCTAAATGAAACAAGAATGGCAAATGAAAACAGCTTACTGAAGTTGGAGCTTTTTCTAGAGTGACTATAGTGATGGGGAGTGCTGTGAAGCTGGCATAGGTTTCACAATCAAAACTGATCTGGTCAACATGCTTGTATGCCTCCCAAAAGGAGTGAATGACAGGTTCATAGCAATGTAATAACCACTTTCAGGAAAGCTCCGTGACACCATCAGCATGTGTACTGCTACCCTGACAAACTGATGAGGTCAAAGAAAAATTTCCTGAACACCTGGAGACCCTCATCATCAATGTGCAGCAAACACTGGTATTTAATAGACTGTGTCATAAGGAGAAGAGACAGAATGTGAAAATAATGAACACAGTGTGTGGTACATTCACATTCACCAAAAGTGGTGGCCCAAGGCAAAAAAAGTAAAAAGACTAGTAGAACTCTTAATGTCAGCAGATTAGAGAGCTTCTTTGAGTGTGAACAGTTCTTTACTAACTTGGAGGGAAAGCTCAGCCAACACACAGTTGGCAACAGCACAGCAGAAAAGGAGTGGACAGTTTTCAGAGATTTGATGTGCAGTGCCACACTTACTCATTTGGGTCAGAACACTTGCAAACATCAAGACTGGTTTGACAAAAATGATGGGGAAATTCAGAAGCTGCTAAATGAAAAAATGAGAACTCCACAGAGTTTACCAGCAGGATAGTTCATCCATTTCTAAGAAGGCAGCATTTAACTTCATCAAAAGTAAATTGTAAGCAATGTTTAGAGAGCTACAGGGTTATTGGCTCAGTAAGAAGGCAGATGACCAAAAAAAAAAAAAAGGCAGATGAAATTCAATTTTATGCTGAAAGTAACATTCCAAAGTACTTTTATCATGCCCTGAAAGCTATTTATGGGCCAAAGACCTTAGCTACTCCACACTGATGGAGGCACATTGATTAGATAAGGACAAGATCCTGGAGAGATAAGTGTTCTCAATAGACCATCATCAACTAAAGCCATGGTTATATAAATATAAATATAAAGCCATGTATCTCAGGTTGAAGTCAATCCCTCTCTAGCTGAACTTCCAACTGAAGAAGAGGTTTTGAATGCCATTAAGCTCCTCTGATGTGGCAAAGTTCCTGGTGCTAATTCCATCCCAGAGATATCTACAAGGCAAGGACTGCACTTACTCATACAAAAACTGACTGAAATCTTCTGGGTTATATGGCAAGAGGAGGTTATTCCCCAGGAGTTCAAGGATGCCTCCATCTCTATAAAGGAAAAGTAAATAGGTTGTTCTATGACAATCATAGAGAGGTCTCTCTCTTAGTCATTGCTGGCAAGATTCTTGCCAGAGTCCTCTTTAATAGGCTGGTCCTTCACCTGGGAGGTGGTCATCTACCTGAGAGCCAGTGTAGCTTCAGAAAGGGCCATGGTGTTTGCTGCCCAACAACTCTGGGAGAAATGCCAGAAGCAGAGCAGAGGTCTTGACACAATGTAGATTTGACCAAGGTCTTTGACACTGTCAGTCATGAGGGTTTGTGGAAGATCATGGCAAATTTTGATTGCCTGGAGAAATTCATCAGTACCATAGTCAGTTTCAGGACAGCATGCTTGCACAGGTTCTGGATAATGAATGATGCTTTCATTCTTTCCTAGTCACCAGTGAAATGAAGCAGGATTGTATTCTTACTACCATGCTTTTTAGCATTTTTAGTGATGTTCTTGGACACCTTCAACAAAGATGAAAACAGCATCAAGGTTAGCTACTGCACTGACAGTAAATTATTTAACTTGTAAAGGCTACAAGCCAAGACCAAAGTAGAGGAAGAGTTAGTTTGTGATTTTTTGTTCACAAAACATGATTGTGCATGCAATGTAGCCTCTGAGACCAAGATACAACAGAATATGAATCCATTCTCTTCACTTGTGCTAGCTTTGTCCTGACCACAACAAGAAAACAAAGGTTCTCCACCAGCCGGCACCATACATCCTTATGCAGCAAATGGAGAAATTTTGAATGCTATGGATAAGTTCACTTACCTTGGCAATATACTTTTCAGGAACATACACATAGATGATGAGGT